TGTGGGAGGAAGGACTGAAGCTGAAAAGATAACACTTTGCCCCTTACAAACTTTGAGAATTCAACCTTTCCCCTTCATTATCCCAGTGCAGTGAAGTGGCGGTGGCAGTGCTAGTGGGGGAAACTCAAGAACACTGTGAAGAAGGAAACTGGACATATCTTGCAGGACACCCAGATCATTAAACAAAGTATTTATCAAGTGTTCATTTTTTCACAAAGACATAAATGGAGAGAATCGGGAGGAAGATGAAGAGCAAAGCATAAACTCAAATGGAGAGAAGTATAACACTTCAACTCCAATTTTCTCATTAACCAACTCTCCTATATACGGTGGAATACAATATTTAAAACAATTCAAATTCAAACAATTATTATATATTAAAAAACAATAAAAGTACATTTGAAATTTGAAATAAATAACAGCCATTTTTGCTGCATGCTTGTGTCATTTGACAGCTCTGCAGCCTCTTTGCAGCCTTTCATTTTCATTTGCTGCTACTTGTGCAGCTTGAACACCACAACTCCAACATCAAGCATGGTTCGGTTTGGGCAGAGAAGATTCCACAACCATTATCAACAACAGATATTGCAATGACAGGAGATTGATGTTTTATTCAAACAAAGACGAATATGAAGTACAAACTAAGTGACCTCCATCCTCTCTCTTTCCCAGCAGAGGTTGCGAAATTAAATCACATACATACCGAGATCCTCGTCGTCATCATCGAAAAAACTGTTAGCTGGCATTTATTAAAGTTTGATGTTCAATGGTCGAAACTAGAATTTGACCTTGTAGTGTACTCTTGTACAAGCTGAGCAAAAGATGAAGATTTGTTTTCCAGTAATCTTGCTGGAGAATCATATTCTTCAATGAGTCCTACACCAGTTAAGACAAATTAAATTAGTTTACTACATAGTGAACCTTAAGATACAGATGAAATTGACATATAGTATAATGCTGACCATGATTTAGAAGCAGAACCATGTCACTATCTAGAACAGAAGTTATCCGGTGCGCAATGGTTAAGACTGTACAGTCAAAAAAGTGTTCCCTTAGGGTGCGCTGAATCAGATTATCTGTAGCTGTGTCAACAGATGCAGTAGCTTCATCGAGCACTAAGACCTTACTTTTCTTCAGTAACACACGGCCGAGACAGACCAGTTGTCTCTGTCCCATGCTCCAATTTTCACCATTCTCACTAACTGAAGTGCACCAGAGAATAATACAATGAGGGAATCTATGCAGTCACTGGATTTGAGATAAAAACTCGTATCAGTTTTATGTTATAACAGGAGAGGGTTAAAAAGATTCAAACCTGGGGAATCTAATTTTCCTTCCTTTTTCCTAACTTCATCTCCAAGTTGGCACTTATCGAGAGCCTAAAACAATAAAAAAAAACTTCTCCCTTGAGGCGAAATGTTGCAGACTATAACATTTCCCCATCCAAAATAAAACAAACTCACCTCCCAAATCTGTTCATCAGTGTATTCTTCAAGAGGATCAATATTGCTCCTAACCGTCCCTTCAAACATTGTTGGATCCTGAGGAATGATGCTTAGTCTTGACCGCAAATCATGCAGTCCAATGGACGAGATGTTGACACCATCTATTATAATCTGCCCAGCTGCAGGTTCAACAATCCGGAATAGTGTCTGTATAAGAGTTGATTTTCCACTGCCTGTTCTCCCTACAATACCAGTTTTCAACCCTCCAGGAAAAGTGCATGTAAGGCCCCGCAACACAAGTGGCATGTGTGGGGCATACCGGACCTAAATTGACACATCAAAATCAGTCCTGCAATTATCAAGTAAAAATAATGAGCTGCAGAAACAATGTAACCGAGTTACCTGCAGATTGTGAATATCAATTTCTCCATGTGATGGCCAGGAATGGGCTGGACGATTTGTTTCAATCACAAGAGGAGGCTCACTGGGGATAATAGTATACTGAAGTATTCTCTCAACTGATGTAATTTGGTTCTCCAGATCGCACAGATTCAATGTTACGAAGGCTTGCAGCATATTCAGACTGAGTCCATATGTCACAGCCAAGCCAGCAATGCCTAAATAGAAAACAAAAAAGGAATTGTCCCATATTTCATCACTATTTTTTTATCAACATATATCCATAATTAACAAAACTACAAATCTGCAACTGACATACCTGGATTAACAACTCCTGGTGGAATAGAAACTAAGATGACCAAAGAGAAAGCAAATGTAATAGAAGATAACATATTTAGGCGGAACCAAAGCCATAGCATAGCACCAACATTATGGAATACTGGTCGAGAATATGAGTCGATCAGTTTCATGTTTGTCTCTCTGAATCTTGATTCTTCATCAAAGCTCCTGATAGTTGTTGATCCTGAAATTGTTTCAGCAAAATTTTGTATCACTGGAGCTTTGCATACTCCGACCAACCTTGCAAGTTCTCGTGCAGAAGATATGTAATATTGCTGGAAAATTAATAGTTTATGAGTACTATTATTCCAAATACTATAAAATATTCATTGAATCACAATGAAATTGAGGCAGAATGTATTAGCAATGCTGGAACTTGGAAGAAAAAAGGCTGGTGTAGAAATGAAGAACACAGCAAATCAACAACCTCGTGAGAACATGAGCACAAAGACACAAATTTTCATCGAGATGTCACTGGAAATAACATTTTTTGTTCTTTCAGCATCAATTTAACCAAATAATATGAGCCACTGTTATAGATTTCATTTCAATATTCACACACACGAGATGAAGTAAGGCATGAGGAACAACAACAGCACAATAATAACTTGCTTTAACCAGTTGCAGCATCTCTTCTTATTACCAACAATAAGAAAATGTCCTGGCAAGGTCCTTTGGATCTGATGGCAAAAAACATCATGCTTGATCAAAAGTCTCCAGTTCTTTTAATGAATCACAATTCTTAACTAGAATGCTTAACAATTACACAAACAGTAAATGCCAAGTTTTCCAAACTGAGGTAGAACAGAGGTGATCTTCCCTCGAAGAAGGTTTTACATTGATTTCTGTAGTTTTAATGTAAACAAGGTGTATGCAAGCAAACATGAGAAATAAAAAGAAGAAAAAACAGCATAGTTGAGTTTAAAAGGACTACCTGATACCATACAGTGGTAGCAATCACAGGGATAAAAACAATAAAGATCTGCCACGCAGCCTGAGACATCACTGCAATGATTCCAAGGAGCCGAATCATTAAGAAGGCGACTACACCTACTTGATCAGGAATGCTCAAATCAACTGCACTTTGATCTGTAGAAGCCTTCAACAAGGAAGTCAAATTACATTAGTACAACTTCTAGGGTTTAACAAAAAATAATAAGGAAAAATATCAAAAAATTAAATCCATATTCAAAGTCATCCCAAGAAAGCATCTGATGCTTACTCGGTTCAGGATACGCCCACTTAGGGTGGCATCAAAGAAAGACATGGGAGCACGGAAAATGCAATGATGCATTTTATTGAAAAGTAAAGTCGCAGTCTTGTAACCAGCAGTATAAAGAAGCATGTCGCTAGCAAGAATGCATAAAGAACTTCCAATGGCCAATGCCACATAGACCATTAGTAGTGTAGAGGTCTCAACTAAGGGTTTGATCTCCTCTGATGCAGGAGTTGCCCAAGCCATCCAATAATTGCTACCAATCTGAAGAAGCCGTAAAACAATCAGTGCCAGCAATATAAAGGGCACAAGAGCTCCACGATATGCTGTGGTAATATACTTCCAGTAGACTGAAAACCCAACACGACCTTTCTCTCGCTCTTCTTCTTGAACAAGCTGCCCTTTAGGCCCAACTATGTCATCAGTTCTACCATTCTGTAGGTCTTTATTGTCTTCGTTCTGCACATTCCCAGTAATACTACTCACACTACCTTCTTTGTTCAAAATTACTCCTGTAGAAAGAGATCCTCCCTCAACTATGTAAAGTGCTGACAAAGCTTTATTATGTGCAACCACAAATTCCATAAAATCAGTCCCAGAGTTTAGAATCTCATTGTATTTTCCAGCTTGTGTGATCTTTCCATCTTTCATGACCTAAAACAGTATGCAGTTAGTATCCTCATTATTTCAGTTCATTACATCAAAAGTATCGAAGAAAACCAAATAAGTATGCTCACCAAGATTAGATCAGCAGCAGGCAAGAACTCAACCTGGTGAGTGATATAAACCACAGTTTTTGAACTCAACATGCCCAGCAAAACCTCCTATTACACAAAGATTGAAGAGAAATACTTTAGTAAAGCACTCATATGAAGCAAAAAGGAAAATTTTTTACTTCAAAATGTATATTAAAAAGGGAAAATCAAAACATGATGATATTGATAATGCGTCCATATTCAATTATTATTGATGAATAAACTAGGAACGTAAGGGTAAAGGAAAATGTAAAAAGATCAAAAGAATAGTTTTTCTCACCATAAGTGAGGACATTAAGACAAGAACAGATGTTACCTTAAATAAGTGAGATCCAGTATGGGCATCCACAGCACTGAAAGGATCATCAAACAGATAGATATCAGCATCTTGGTAGAGAGCACGTGCAATCTGTATTCTTTGCTTCTGTCCTCCACTCAAGTTTATTCCCCTTTCACCTATGACTGTCTGATCACCAAGTGACAGGATTTCCAGGTCCTTTTTCAGGGAACAAGCTTCAAGCACCATCTCATACCTTTCCTTGTCCATCCCTTTACCAAACAATATGTTTTCTTCAATCTTTCCACTCTGTATCCAAGGTGATTGAGCAACAAATGCCTTTGTGCCACACAACCTAACAGTCCCGGACACTTTTGGTATCTCCCCCAATATACAAGAAAGAAAACTTGACTTGCCAGAGCCAACAGTACCACAAACAGCAATCCTCATACCATGTTGTACTTTTAAATTTACATCTTTCAGTGTTACACCTGAGGTAGATAAATCCCAGGAGAAATTCCCATCAACAATCTCAATTGCAGTGTCAGAACTACCTCTTGGAAGCCTTTCTATAACATCAGGCTGTAAATCATCCAGATGAAGGAAAGATGCAATTCTATCAAGAGAAACCTTTGTCTGAACTATCATTGATATTGTCCTAGGAAGACCATATATTGGGCCTTGAAGAATCCCTAATGTTGCGAGCGAAGATAAGATCTTTCCTGACTCAAGGGGGACTCCCAGAAGCATACAAGCACCAAAAGTGGCCACTGACACAAAAGTTGGTGCCACCGAAAATACAAAACTGGTCATGGCAGTAGTGTAAACAGATTTTTTTAACCATCCTATCTCGGCATTTCTGAGCTCAATAATCCTAGACAGAAACTTCATTTCCCACCCTTGAACCTTGAGAATTCTCATATTCCTTAGAATCTCAGACGTTGCCTTCATCCTTTTATCTTTTGATTTCATCAACTTGTCCTGAAAGTTCTCTTGCAATTTTCCCAAAGGGAAAGTTGCTAGCATAACGATAACAGCTGCAATAAAAGCTGCAACTGATGCTAGCCCAAGATTTTTGTACAAGATGAACAATGCCAAAGCAACTTGCAGAATGACCAACCATGGATAATGCAGATACCAAGAAAAGTTACCAATCCTTGCTGCATCAACAGTCATGAAATTGATAATCTCCCCACTAGTGTGACTCTGCTTTGACCGGCATGAAAGGGTCAAACCCTTATTGTAGATCATTGCTACCAGTACCGCTCTAATTTGAATTCCAATTCTCCGCAGCCTAAAATCCAAGTGCATCTCAGATTGGCACTCTACAAGCTTTGCCACAAAGAATGTTGTAACCAGAACATAACCCTCATTTTTAAAATCTCTTTGCCCATTGAGGTATTGAACAAACGTGCCAATGAGATAAGGACCAACAAATGAAGCAACCGTGTCTGCAAGTGCCAAAAGAGCTGTAAAAAGAATGTCTTTCCATACGGATAGAAACAACGCCCTTACCAGCTTAAGTGTGGTTACTCCACTCCCCACACCACCAGCTGACTCAAGGTTATTTCTAAAATTTGGAAAAGCCCCGATTACACTATCAAGGCTATCAAGTTGAGGAACGTCCTCAAGGTCTAAGGTTTTCTTATTGCCTAGAGCAATCAAAGACCCCATCCAAGAGAATGTAAGAATGCTAAAAATTCCAGCATTAGAGAAAGGGGTTACAGAACCAGCTCCTCGGGACTTATTTGACACTACCCCATTACCAACACTAGAATCTCCATTCAGAAGGGGTTCCCCAAGGAAAGTGTCTTCGCCCTCATTTCTATTCAAAAACCCCACATAACAGAGGAACAAACCAGTAATGACAGAGAAACCATCAGACACTAAACACCGACTAGGTAATGAAACATGTTGAACTATGTCTATAACAAGACAATACCCAGAAATTGAAAGATAAAACCACCACCAGACTCTCAATAAAAATGGAAACTTTTGTTCACCAGAATCATAGAATTGGGTATGCAAGAAAACAGAAACTGCACCCCAAGCAAGAGTTTTGAGGACTAAATCTGAAAGGTTCACAAGCTTATCCCCAGACCAACCATTCCTATACCAATAGAAATAGCTCAACAAACACAAAACAATATTAAAAACACAAACTCCTAAACAACAAAACAGAGTCGGCTTATACAACAATACCCCCCTGCGCTTAAACCTCTCCTTTGACTCCTCACTAGAATCACCCTTATTCCTCCTTACCACCCACAAGACAAACAACATAAGTAACAAAACCAGGTGTAACGCACCAGAAAACCCACGTGCAAAAATGGGCTCAAGCAGAAAACTGAAATCAGCAATACCGGAATGCATGAGTGAAGACGAATAAGAGGCCACACCTCGCTTTGCTGAAGCCAAAAGTTCCATTTTCTTGGAGCACAATGAAAAGGGCATGCAAAAAATAAAACCAGTTCGTGGTTCTTTACAAAAATTGATGAGATTCTCTTCAGAAGTTGGTGAATATTTATTGGGGGGGAGGGAGAGACTGAAAAAGAACGAGTCTTTGTTAAAACAATAAAAGCCTCCACCACAGACCAGAGTCACCAGACACACAGAGTGAGTCAGAAGTCAATTTCTTCTGGAAGAGACATGCGTAAGGAGCAAGCAAGGCTATTTAAAAAATAGGAACAAGGCGGAAAGAGGGAAGAAGTGGAGCAGACGTATGCAAGACAAAAAGGGCAGTCTGTTGGGGGTAGAAAATCAAAGGCGAAAACGGTTTTTAACTATCATTTGCTCCAATTCCTCGCCGCCAATCCAATGAATAAAAAGTACCCTGAGAATATTACGGTATCTCAGAAGTTTGCTCAATATTTTACAGGATTTTGTAAATTTATGTCATTAAAACATAAGCTAAGAATATTTTTTATATTAAATATATAAAAAAATAAAAATTAACATTAATTTCAATATTAAATAAATTTAATTAAATAATTAATAAATTAAAACTTAATTTTTATTTTTTTAATATAAATTTATAATAAAAAAATATTTAATATATTTTTAATCTATATTCTTAAAGTATAAGTTAAACAAATTTTATTTTAAATATGAATGTTATGAATAAGAAAACAAACAATAATAAAGAGGACATGGGTGTTGCAACTATTTTGGCACCATCCATTTTGCTCCTATTTTGGCACCATCCATTTTGCTATTTTGTAAGAGATCATTAATATATTTGTGCTGAGAGAGAAATAAACCAACAGAAGTTTTAACTGCCTCAACACCCAAAAACAAACTAAGTTCACCAAGGTCCTTTAATGAAAATTTCTACCTCAGCCTGTTGATTAAATTTGAGATAAAAGCAGCACTATTGCTAGTAATCAATATATCATCAACATAAACTAACACATAGAGAACAATCCTGGCTTTGTTATGAATAAATAAGGAACAATCAGAGTGGCAGTTAACCAAACCACAAGCAAGCAAGAATTTCTTCAATTCAGTATACCAAGCACGAGGAGCTTGCTTAAGTCCATAGATGGTTTTCTTCAATTTGTAGACATGATGAGGAAGAGTTTGATCAATGAAACCAGCCGGTTGAGCCATGTATAAATCTTCCTCAATAGAGCCATGTATAAATCTTCCTCAATAGAGCCATGGAGAAAAGCATTCTTTACATCAAGTTGCCGAGGCCAAGCTTGACTTACAACAATAGTAAACACAGTGCGAATGGTGGTGGGTTTGATAACAAGGCTGAAGGTGTTGGAATAGTCGTGACTAGGCTGGTGACGAGGAGGAGACAGGGGACAGGGATGAGGAAGAGGGAGAAGGAGAGGGAGGGGAGGCGACGGTAGTAGAAGAAGTAGTGAGAGAACGAGAAATACCTAATCAGGAGGGAGAGGGAACCAGATTTGAACCGCAAGCAATGGGAGGCGATGCATCTTGCGAGACTGGGATGACGAAGTCTGGCAGAGTTGGGTTGGCAATGGCAGAGGGCACTGGCAATGGTAAGGTTGGGAAAGGAGCAGAGGATGGAGCTGAGTCCGGTGCCGGAGAAGAAGAAGGAAACAGAGAGGCTGAGTTTGTGGAGGGCTGAGACAAAGATGAAGGAGAAAAGTTAGAGATTTGAACACTAGTGAGATTTGGGAAATTTTGAATTTGAGAAGCTGATTGTCCTATAGAAGCCCGAAAAGGAAAGTGATTTTCATGAAAGGTAACATGTCTAGAAATAAATATTTTATTAGTTTGAGGATCAAAACACTTATAGCCAAGATGATCAACAGAGTAACCAACAAAAATACATTGATGAGATCTTGCTTGGAGTTTATTTTGGGTCTATGGGCGCCTCCAAGGGTAATAGGCACACCCAAAGGTTTTTAGTTTTAAATAATTTGGTGGGATAGAGAAAAGCTTTTGAAAAGGAGATGTGAAAGACAAAACAGAAGTAGGTAAACGATTGAGTAAATATATTGCAGTTTGAAAAGCATGGGACCAAAAATGAGTGGGAAGTGAACTATAGTGAAGTAAAGCTAGATCAGTTTCAACAATAGATTCATTCTGTCTTTCACAAATATCATTGAGATCTGGAGTGTAAGGTGGGGTGGTGAAATGAGAAATACCATGTTGTTGAAAGTAATTTTGAAGAGCAACATATTCCCCACCTCCATCGGAATAAAAATTAATTATTTTATGCCCAAATTGATTTTCAATGAGAGACTTGAATTTTGGAAAAATAATTGAGACATCTGATTTTTTTTGAATTGAATATAGCCAAACATACCGACTGTATAAATCCATAAAAATAATAAAAACTTGTGACCATCACGAGACGTGGTGGGTGCAGGACCCCAAACATCAGAAAAAATATATTCAAGAGGGGCATGGCTGGTGATGGAGGATTTTGAGAATGGGAGTTTGTGGCTTTTTGAACAAGAACAAGAATCATAGTAAAAAACATCCAATTTATTTATTAATGGAAAATTGATAACACTGAGAATTTTTTTGAATATTTTGGATGATGGATGTCCCAGCCTTGCATGCCAATTTATTGCCGTTGTCTTTTCTCTAAGATATGCCATGGGCATTTGTTTAGAAGGGCCCATTAGAGGAACTTGGTACATCCCATGTCGGTTTGGCCCTCGTAGTAATATCTCCCCCGTGTTGCGATCTTTCACCAAGAAAAAATTAAGATGAAATTCAACAATAGAATTTGTGGTTTTGCATGATTGAGAGACAGAAATAAGATTACGAGATGCTGTAGGTACAAATAAAACATTATGTAAAGGAAGAGATGAGGTGGGTGTTGTGAGGGTAGTATGACCAACATGAGTGATTTTCAAACTTGAGCCATCTCCAATAATTAGTTCATTAGGGCCATTATATTTTGAATGCAATGCCAGGTTCGACAAATCAGTTGTGATATGATTATTAGCACCTGAATCAATCACTCACTCATTAGTGTTCGGACCGATAGATGCTGCATAGTGGGCTGTGGGGCTTGGCCTTGATTTCAAAACAATGAGCATGTACGAACAGTATGCCCAAAATGGTTGCAAAGTTGACAGGATATATTGGGCCTGTTGGTGTTGGGCCGATTTGGGCCTCCTCTTTTTTTGTTGAATTGATTTGGTCTTTGGCGCCCATTTCCTCTTCCTCCTGCCATTTGTTGGCCTGATCCAAAGGGCTGTATATTTTGTGGCAATGGCATAATTCCTACACCATTGGACTGAAAGGAAGCATTTGAAAGACCAGAATTTGTAGAAAAAGTAGGATTATTACCAGCAAGTCTCCTTGTGGGCATAACAGCAAAATGGGTAGTCACTGGTGTATTTTCAATTCAAGTTTCTTCCCTGTGCTTGCTTTCTTCATGGGCAACTAGTCTGTCATGAAGTTCTTCAAAGGAAAGTGGCTCATCTCGAGCATGTATCGAAGCAGAGATCTCACGAAATTCAAGGCCTATTCCATTGAGTACATACACCGTCAAGTCATCGTTGGTAAGAGGTTTGTCAATTGCAACAGGTTCATCGGCAAGCACCTTGAGTTGATGAAGAAATTTAGAGACAGTACGACCTTCACAGCGAGTGTTTTGAAGCCTCTCCTTGAGTGTAAAATCTCTAGATCTTAAGTGATTGGCATAAAGATTGGCTAGAGTTTTCTAGGCTTGTTGTGAAGTTTCAGCAGTAGATACGTAGGGAGCAAAGGTTAGAACCTAGTTAAACATCCACTAGTCTTTTGTGGCTTGGAAATTTAAGGAAAACCGCATGAAAAGCTTCTGCAAGTACACATTTTCAATTTCGATACTGCAAGGAAAAGTTGAAGATATGAAATTTCGGAAAGAAAGAGACAAAAGATGAGAGAGAAACATCGGAGAGAGAAAATATTTAAATATAATTATAATATGACATGAAATCATAAAATTATATTTTTGAAATAAGTATATAAGTATATAATTTATTTTTTTATTCAAAAAATTGTATTATATATTTTTATTTATTTAATGAGTTTTTAAAATAAAAATAAATTTAGAATTTTGCATAATATTATTATTATGAAATTTTATTTTTAATTTTTTCATATTCATTAATTAAAAAACCAGTAATGCATTCTTTCACTTTAATTTTAGATTTTTTTTTATTTTACTAACAATTAAAGGTAAGCAACCAACTAACAGAATATTTTCAATAAAAAAATAGATGTTAAAGAAAGTTTTTTTTTTATAAAATCTAATATTATTTGATTTTAAATTAATCAAAATTTAACAAGAATGAGTAAAGAGAAAAAACAATTAAAGGTAAGCAATTTTTTTTTTTTAGTCGACGGTAGGTAAGTATCTTTGTTTTAGAATTTATTAAATTTAACAATGTCATGCGATCATGCTCAGCAGTGGAACCCACCCCAAGTAGCACTCCGTTGCATTTTGACGGTATATGTTAGTTAGGGGTTAATATGCCACCATTTAACAAGTGTAAGGGGTCATTTTGCACTTTTTTTAGTTAAGGGCCTAATTTGCCAATAAA